AAGATGGTTACCGGAAGACGCAATTATATCACTCATGAGGAAATTTAAATCATTTCACTTTATCCTGAATACTGCGCTGAAGATGTCATCCAGAAAGACGATGAAATCTCCGCAATTAAACCAACCAGCTCAGAAAACATTATGAATTGCAAATCATCCACCTGAGTTACAAATCTTTTCTATATGTCAACTCAACCTATTTCAATTTACGCTCAGCTCATCATGTTTCTAGCATTTTGCTACAGTTTACAATTAAACCTCTTTACTTTATCGCTACACTTGATATCTGTCATCTCTTTCTGGAACTTACATTCAATGTTCCCTATTTTTTGGTATTTGTTTGGATGTATTTTGTGGTAATCATTTTCCTCGCACGCCAATGAATACAACTCACTTCCTACTCCTCAATGAAACTAATTCTGTTGATTATAAATACGTCAGTATGCCACTCAGCTCTCTATTCACATTTTATCTTATTTTGCTTTGACTGTACATTTCATATACAGTCAACTAAAGGACTGTCATTCTATCTCATTCATGTACCTCAACAGAGAAAGTTTCTGATATAATTTTCACCTGCCTTCACTGCCTGTATGTGTAGTCCAATATTCATCAGGATTTATAACTGTAGGGCTTGAGGAAGATTTTGGTGAAATCAGTTGTTAGCACAAAATCATCTGGTTCTAATTACAGTATTATTATTATATCCCTTAATTCCTAGAGGAACATACAGCTTCAGCTGCGCGCCTCCGTTGCCTTCGGTTCTCTGCCAACTTTTTCACCCTGCTCCAAGTCTGCCCACATCCTTTCATCTCCTCTTCACATCACCTCCTCCATGTCACCCTTGCACTGACGACCAACACACCGCTTCCCTTTGAGGTTCCACTCGAGCAGTGGCTTGCCTAGTGATGTCACTTGATGGTTTCCTCAGAGTATGGCCAGTCCAATCCATCTCCATTTCTTCCTGCCTATTTCATTCACAATCGGTTCCTTCTACGTCGGGTCGCTCCCAGAGATCCCTCTTGCTGATCTTTTCTGGCAGGTCATCTGATCTTGAGTAGAATTGAGCGAAGACAGCTGTTAATGAAGGTGTGAAGTTTGTTTGAGATGCTCTTTATGATACGCTGACTAAGTATCTGATCCGTATAGTGAGTATCACTGACTTCACATTCGAGTTGAAAATCAGGATGTCACTTTTGATGCAGATTGGGGCTGTTGACCTCCACACAGACTTGGTGAGAGTAATGAAAGCTTGTCTTGCTTTCCCGATTCTGGCTTTGATATCCTCATCAATTCAGTAGCCTGTAGTTGAAACGATGCTTCCCAGGTAGGTAGTCAGGTAAAGGAGGTTGTTTCTTTCAGGTTCCTTCCATTCATGTTGGCTGATTGTTGTCTGTTGTCGTTGTTGCTGTTGGTGTTGGCCAAGAATCTTCATCAACTCTGTTTTCTGTATGTTCACCTGGAGTCCTATCTTTGATGCTTCTTCTTCTGTGAACTTGTTGCTTGTGACTTGCTTATCTTCCAGTTTGTGAGAAATCAGACATATATCATCGGCGAAGTCCAGATCCTCCAAGTAATTTGTGTGCGTCCATTTTATGCCTGTTTCCTCATTGCTCACTGTTTGTCGCATTATCCAATCTACTGCAATCAGAAAAATCATTGGTGATAGTAGACAGACTTGTCTCACTCCCGTCCTTACTTCAAAGGATTCCGTAAGTTTCCCGTTGTGGATTACTTGGCATGCAGCATTGTCGTATAACTGTTGGATGAGGTGTATAATTGTCGATGGTACCCCTTAGTAGCGAAGTAGTTGCCAAGTCACTTCTCGATCGACGCTGTCAAAGGCCTTTTCAAAGTCGATGAAGTTGAGATAGAGAGGTGACTGCCATTCCAAGCTTTGTTCAATGATGATCCGTAGAGTGGCGATTTGATCAATGCATGACTTGTCTCTCCTGAATCCAGCCTGTTCCGGTCAAAGTTTTCCATCCAGGTTGGCTTATTTGATTCTCTCCAGAATGATGCGGCTTAGTATCTTGCTTGGGATGGACAGGAGTATAATTCCGCGCCAGTTTTTGCATTGACTTAAGTCCCCTTTCTTTGGTAGTTTGAATAAGTATCCTTTCTTCCAATCCTTGAGTATTTTTTCTTATTTATTTGATTTCACTATTTAAATCTTCTGGTTACTAGTTAGTTTTCTGGATTGATTATACAGACATGTAACTAAATCTACCCTTACCGACTTCTGGGTGGGATGAATCAAAGTCCAAATATCTATTGTGGAATGCTGTGGTTTTCTATGCGTAAAAATATCTAACCAGCTCACTGCTCTGTTTCCCGTTTATTTTGCCCTCTGTAGCATATCTAAACCACCTTGTTCATCTTCTAACATGAAAGTAAACTGGGAATTCCCGGTGCTGGACAGTTTATGTATGTGTTGCTACGGAAACCGACTCACTGTGGTCTGAAAACAAGAAATCAATGTTTGCGCCCTAATGTCTGTCTGACACGAAAACTTCCTTGAGACACAACATACGCACACCCACAGCCACAAAACTCTGCAAAACAATAGCCGAAAGACTATTCTTTGTCAAAATATCTATGTCGCTTCATTCAACAGCGACAATGATAACATCGAAAACTCAAAATCGCATCAACAGTGTAGTTAGGTAGCTAGCTATACATGCAAGAGACTGTTCTAAGTACAAAACAAGTACTTTAGAACGAAATTAGCCAACCAAAGTTCAACTGTAAAAAGTACCTTAAAACCAGAAAGAATATTTCAGACATGATGGGATCGAAACCTCTGTCAGCATAAAATACACACTAACAAATCCAAAACACAGTCCAAGGTCAGAATGACCTTGAGTGAGTGAAATGAAATCACATCTTATATACAAAACATTATCGATATCATCATCACGTAATCACAAAGAGAAGCACAAACATTAGAGATTAAACAGGAACAAAGATGATAAATGAGGATAAAGTCAACCAGCATTATTTTTATTATTATTCTCTAGGGTTCCGAGTGGAACATAGAGCTTCATCAATACATCTCCTCTATGTCATGTTCTCTGCTGTCTTCTTCACCTGAGCCCATAATTGCCCATAATCTCTCATCTCCTCCTCAAAGGTTCTCCTCAATGTCATTCTCGCACTGACGACCCACTGTTTGCTTCCTATTGGGATTCCACTCGATAGATTGTGCGCGATGTCATTCGATGGCCTTTTCAACGTATGCTCGACATATCCATCTTCACTTTCTCTGGCATATTTGTCAGACAACGGGTGCTTGATTCTTTCGTTCCCAAAGATTCTTCTTTCTGATTCTTTCTTTAATAGTCGTTTGATTTTCAATATAGAGCAAAGGTAGCTGTTGATGACAGTCTGCAAACTGTTGGGAGTGCTTTTGATAACGCGCACGCCAAGCTTCTGACCCAATGTTGTTGAAGATCCAAATTTTGTTGTTTATGCTGGCTGAGTGAAGGTATATCTTGCCTTTCCGACTCTGGCTGGCTGGCTTTGACATATTCATCCGTGCCGTGTGCCTATGGTTGAAACAATGCTTCCTAGCTGGACAAGTCAAAGAAGTGACCTCTTTCAAGTTTCTCCCAATGATAGTGATGGGTGCTGGTCATTGCTGGTGTTGGTCGGTGGAGTATCTTTATCGCCTCCGTCTTCTCTATGTTCACCTGTAGTCCTGTTTTCTCTTCACCGGCTCTTCAGCGAGTTTGTTGGTTTTAACACCTGCAAGTCTTCGAGTTGGTTTGACATTAAGCATAAATCATCACAGTCTGACGCATAATCCGACTGTCAGTCAACCACCATACGATAAACAAATGTCATAACAATGATATACAGTCTAGGAGAAAAACGGATAGTAACAATTACAAAGTCAGTTGAAACATCTAAATAAGTATAAACATTGTGACTAGTTTCATTCATAAGAAATTTTCCAGGCAATTTTTCCATTACAATCTGTCCTGGAAATGTCATCTACCCCTTTATACCCTATCGCACACAGTATGCGCTACATGGAATAAAATTATCTGTTATAGAATTATATTCTCCTACAGTGCCTAAATTCTACATTTACATTAAAAGTCTCTTTCCTTAATTAAAAGTAGATTGTGGTAGGTAAAAATGACACTTTTATATTCTGTTACTTAATGAAGAGTTAGTATTAAATATTTACCGTGATACCTGATAATAAATTAATGCAATGCAAACAGTAAAGCTGATAATAGCACACCAGGAAAACAATATTTCAGTATTCATCTATCTAAAGCCATAAATCCATCTTTTTTTTTCTTCTATACAGTAGATTTCAGTCACACAAGTTTTTCTAATGAAATATTCGAGGCAGTATAAACTATGTTGCCATTATGTTCAGTGTCATAAAAGGTTATCAAAACTGTCGTGACTGTGTGCCTTTCATTTCTTTAAATCCAGTGTGAAATACTTTTTTTAAATTCCTTTACATTCCTTTAGTAGAACACAGGGCGTCTTTAGGCTAGAAGCTTGAATTTTCGGTAGGAGTGATGTTTTTTTTTTTAATTTTACGGGATGGGGTTGCCGCTGGCCTCATGCCCAACCTTCCCTCTTAATAAGTTTTATTACTGGCTTGGTGAGGTAAATGAGGAGTGTGTTGGTGGCCGGAGATCGAACCAAGGACCACCTGAGTGGTAATGAGCGAGCATACTACCGCTGTGGCATAGACACACAAGACTTCAATTTTCATTTTTCAGGTTGTGTCACTAGTATCACACCCGGCGTCCTCTATTCAATGGACTTAATGTCGGTAAAGTGAGTTTAAGTATTCCATTCAACTTGAAATCGAACGCCGGAACCTCTAGTGCATAGTTAATTGGCACTCTTTAGCTGAAACATTGTAATTTGCAATTTTTTCTATGTTAAATGTACGATATTCATATCATCTCCTTGTAATGTCGACCGTTTTTTCTGTTTTATTCTTTCTATTATGTACTCGTATATAAAAGGAATACATGACAATTCAGTGTGCATGGTGTAAAATAGGCTATCATAATAAGTCTTCGTGTTTTCATGAATCTTTACTATCGTCTGAACCATGTTCATTGGGACCACATTCAGATCTGATTGTTCCACCTGATTGGATTATCAAGCTTAGTGAAGGAGTAAGTCTTTCTTTTTTCTTCTTTTTTCAGTGTATGTTATATACAATCATATTTCTATTTATTATGTAGTTTTGCTATAAAGTTGCTGTTTTATTTGAGGCTGAAAAGCTTAGTGGTAACGTTTTTTGGACTGCAGCATTGAATGATCCAGATTCGGACCCATATAAGGAAGAGATGAGTTCATTCAAGACTTTTACGAGTGTCAAAAACCTCGAAACTTAGTTTCAAGGTTTCTTACTCATCTCTTTTTGTTATCGTGTACTGGCTATTCATTTTTTTTCGTTCGTGGCAGTATCCATAAGAAATCCAAACAGTTAGCAACTTTAATGTATTCAATGCATATCTACAAGAATATTCATTGAAATTTTTCAATAGATTGTATACTGAACAAAGAGTACTCTTTTCGATAACTTCATCATCAGACTCTACAGTTATATACACATTATAGTGAATGAATGAATTAGTGTTATGTACAACATTAATGCTGTTTAAATAACATCGAATCAATAATATCAACAGATTACAGCACAATAGCAACAACATAAAATAAGCTGAATGTCAGAAACATTAGGAAAGATAATATTGCAAATTCAAGAATTTCTAGTCTCTACTGAAGACCGGCCAAGGCAGTAGTAGTGGCTGGCTGGACTTCCTTCCTTTCATTTAAACACAGAGCACTGGTTGTTTTAGGCGAATTGCAATGGCCTCTGCTGTTTGGAGCATGCGGTGCTTCGATGATTTTGGCAAATTATTAGGCACCCGGTATATGATAAAGAAGGATTCTTCCACGCTGGCTTTGTGGCCGGCTGGTTTGTACCAGAATGTCCAATATCGAACTGTTGATGGTTTTTACTATGTCATATTAAAAGATGTTCTAAGGCACGGAAAATCAAGTTCCTATGGCAACGGCCGATGTAACTCGCTCCACAGGCGCAGTTGAATTGGTAAATACAATTAGAAGTGGCCAGCTAGTCTAGGTACTTCATCCTTCAATTTAGGTAGCACCATCGGTCGCGTAGAGAATAATACGTGTAGTTCGTCAGCATCAAAAGTTCTTTGAACTGATTTTCTTAATTTCTTCGTAATTATCTCACTTAGTATATCACCCTTGAATTGTAGTCGTATATAAAGAGGCTTCGTTGAGGCAATTGGAAGCGACTCCTAACCTTTCATAACATAAGAATAATTATTCTAGGCTAATCAGAACTATGTCAGCTCCCGTAAAAATATCAGAATGCATTAATTTATCAATCATTATTTTGGTGAATCGTATACGACTCAAAACCTCTACATCCTATTGAGACAAATGCTTTACCATGGAACTTCAATTGAATATCTAATCATTACCAGATTAGAATTTAATGAGTAATTAGCATTTCCCGTTAGACAGTGCTTATATCACTTCATTTCAATCAAGTAAAATTATTTGCAATTAATAGTGTTCTCTGAGCTGGTTGGTTTAGGTGCGGAGCTGAAGATGTTGTCCAAAAGGACGACGAACGCTCCACAACTAAACCAACCAGCTCTGAGAACACTATTTATTTCAAATCATCCACCTGAGCTATAAATCTTCTCTATTATTTCAAGTAAAATTATATTTTCCAAGTATGGGTTTGCAGGACTTCTACAGATTTCAGTTGTGATCATGAATTTAGCTCGTAAAACTGTATACCTAATGATCGACTGATTGGTGATAAATAGCTGTCTACCATACATATATCAACGGGTGCTGCTTCATAGCCAACCAGCTCGAGATGATTTGAACATCTTGCTCATTTAGCCATAAACTCATCAGTCATGCATCTCGCTGAGAAAGAGATGGTCGAATTAGTTCAAACCACCTGATTTCTGGTTAGTTAGTTAGTTAGTTACACTTGCAAATTAGTTGGTAGCGATTTGTAATCTACACGGTATGATCACAGTATGTGATCTGAATCATTTGGTTTCTAAACGAAATTGTGGTGAAAATTTCATCCTTTGAACTGTGTAAATTATATAAATTTGGTGAATTTACTTCAGGCGGAGGACCAGCAGGGGCCAGAGAACATTGGTCATCCTTTTTGATCTTTTTTGAGACTCTTCAGGCGTACGCCTTCGTGAATTATCTGACAGGGGGGGGCGAACGCCGGATCTCAAGAGAATACAAGATTATCTCGTTCATATACCATTCAATCTCTAGGATAGAATCCATAAATTATGCACAGCTGCACGAAAAATAAAACTTTAACCTCTACATGGAACAAGAATCTGATAAATAGGGATAGACACGTATTCTGACATAGAAATAAGCGAAACACTAATGGTCCAATCACTTCGCCTGTCAATGAATCATTCACTCTGACAAATAACTAGTGTTAACATTTATTATCATTCCCTTGGGTTCCGAGTGAAATATGGGGCTTCGGCAGAACATCTTCATTTCATTCTGTTCTCTACAATCCTCCTCAGCTGACCCCACATTTCAGCATAAGCTTTTATCTCCCTTCACACGACCTATTCCATGTTACCCTACCAACAACACCCAACTCGTCGTTCCTCAACCGGATTTCTCTCGAGGATGAACCTAGTCTGTGACGTTAACCGATGGTCTCCTCAGCGTATGTTCAATCAACCTCCATTTTATTAGGCATATGTGTTGAACAAAAGGTTCTTCGTTGGTCCAATACAACACTTTCATGTTGCTTATTCTCTCTGTTGCTTCCTTCTGCTGTCTGATCTTCAGTATAGAGTGAAAGCAACCGGTGATCAAAAGTCTTCACTAGCTTGTTAGAAAGACTTTCCATGTCGTTAAAAAAAACAATGTGTATTTCGTACACCTCTGATCACTATCTGAATGTATATAACCGAAAACTGAGAGTGTAGATTAGGAATGTTACTAGACAGAGATATGCATTCATTCGTACATTGAATTAAACACTTTTTTTACCAATTGCTCAATGCAAGTTCTCACCTGAATTGAATATTGAGTGACTTTGATTGCATGGAGGATATCATCATGAGCTTACATCAGTTAGAGAACCACTGGAAAATTTAGGAGTTCTGGACAGCTGTTTCGTCCTAGTTTAAGACTCTTCAGTGGTGCGGACACATCGTGGTTTGGACCCAGGACCTTCTGGTTACAAGGCGAGCTAGTAGACTATTGAGCCACTGGGACCCGATCCAATGACCAAATCATGAATTCTAACTTCTGCAAATTCACGACATAGCGCGACTATTTTGAAATGTTTTCTTCGATAAGTTACTGCCTCATCTTCGATCTGCTGTATACAGCTTTCCCTTAGAACCTCAGGTTAACTGCCTCAACAGGGCCAGTCGCCAGTGAGCATCAGATTAAGAAGAGGTTCAAACTAGGCTGATGAAACAGCTGCCCAGTACTCCTAGGATTTCCAGTGGTTCTCTAATCGATGTCAGCTCATGATGAAATCCTCCAACCAATCAAACAAAATCCCTACAAAACCAATACTTCAAAATTGAGTAACTTCCTTTAAAGTTGTATTAAAGGCAGTTGCTTTTATCAAGCAAGTCTGTACACAGACTAGGACTTCAGTTTACGTATATTCATGTCATTTAGTTGCAATTTCAACAGCTTCATTTATCTACCTACATGATAAGCAAGTTTCAATGAGTATACTGAAAGACAAAATGTATATATATATATATATATATATATATATACAGAACGGGGAGAACCTAAAGATAGAGTAAAAGTCTCGGTCAAGCTAGTGACCTACAGATTATTAGCCAATTGGGTGTTAATCCTTTCGTGACCAACGGTTTCCTTTTGTCTTCAATCATTGCCCTTTTTCACAACCAATAGTAGTCTGCTAGTTCAAACCATCAACGTCCACATGTAAATGTATATAAATCCTTAAATACTGAAAAGAGCTACTAGTAACAGTATACAATTTCTAAAAAATTATATTAGTAAAATCTCAGCGAGATTGAAATGAGTAATTCCAACGTTTCGTTCGGCAATCTCGTCCGAACTTCTTCAGGGAAATTAATCGAAATTAACATAACAGAGGTTTATATATAAAAGGAACATCTCTTGTTTTCAAAAACTTTGTCCAGTCATGAGTCATAAAACAAGTATTAACAAGTATAATAAACAAAATTGTACGAGTTGTGATCAAAATTTGACCTCAGACTTACAAATATTGATCTACCTTTGTTAAACACTTTAAACACAGTGTGTATGTGTGTGTGTGTGTTGCGGATAAACTCGGCGCCCAAATACTTTAGAACTATTCTGTCGAATCTTGACTACAGTTCATTTGAGTATACAATTTCATTCACATATATAGTCTCTTTCCTTTTATCTGTTTATCCTACATATGGATTCTATCCATCACCTGTCATCTGATTATATTGCCGCGATAAAGACTATACATCATTTTCTCTACTCTCTTTGTGTTATATAGAGATATGAATAGTATAATCACTAAAATTAATTATCTATTTGGTTGTATTCGAATAAAATAAATAATCTATTATAATTTTCATTGAAAACAAAATCCCACATCTGTTTATGTATGGATGCAGATAAATAACATAACAGCAAAAACATATTTTACAAAAAAAATAATAAAAAACGAAACTCTAATACAGAGTTTAATTGAATTTTAGATTTTCCCGTCGGTCTCAGGTGGTTGACACGTTGGCTTCTTGTGAAGATGCTTCGACGATGTCTGAGCATTTAGTCAGTATTTAATTGGTAGATGGTGACTAGCATTGGAATCCAAGATAAAGCGCATTTCGTCCAAATTTGGGACTCGTCAACCTGAGACCGAGCACTTCGTCCTAATCAATCGATGGGAAAATCTAAATTTCAATTAAAAATAATTAATATGACCCGTTGCGCAAGAGGTGGCTGGCTCTCGTAACCTGAGTGGTTTAGTGGATAACGCTTTGGCATTTGAAACTATGAACATTAGGTTCGACCCTCGGTGGTGGGAAAATCATCACTCACTGATAAATGCAGGTACATCCAGCTGAAGAGTCCAAAATAGGGCGAAAGGCACATCATGAATTCCACTGCTAGTCACCGTCTACCAATTAAATTCTAATACATAGTCTTTGACGATATCTGAAAACTTAATATGGTGTTAATTTCATCAGTGTGTTAGCTATTTTGTAAAATACAGGATTCACTTTTCCTCCAATAGGGAAGTCATCAGTCAAAACAGGAACAACACCTCTGCGATGTCTATTTAGGGACTCTTCATCAGTACAAATTCACTAGTGTTTGCACCTAAGATCTCCCAGTTACAAAGTAGGCTCGTCCGATCATTCAGTCACTAGGATCCCATCAAAATTATTCATGAATCTGAACTTCTATTCATCAGATACCTGCAAAACCAAAATTTGGAAACTAATTCAGTGCTCACTGGCAACTGGTTATTTTGCAGGAAATTACCTGTGATTCCGGTGAAAAGCTATAACAGACAGGGTCTATCATGTTAGGTAAGGGGACACTTAATAGCTGATATATATATATATATATATACATCGATCCTTTAGTATTAGACCGGATCCCAGCGGCTGAATGGTCTACGAATATGCCTTGTAATCCGATGGTTTTCAGTATAAACCTCAGTGGACACACATATCTGAAGAGTCCCAAACTAGGCTGACGAAACAGCTGTCCAGTACTCTCAGGTTTTCCAGTGGTTCTCTAACTGATGTCAGCTCACGATGAAGTCCTCCATGCCATAACAATAATTCTTTCATTACAGTGGATATATAACTGTCGAACCTGATGAAAAAGAGCAAGTTATTGAAAAGAATATTCTTTGTTCAGTTATCAATCTTTTGAAATTTCTATTGGGTATCTCTAATTAATTAATGCTTATAGTTATTAAATTCAAGTGCTTGTACTTGGCAGTGACTGATTTTTTTTGGACGCCAAAGAAAATTTATCCTTTCCATTTTATATATTCCTGATTGTTCAGAAATAATTATGTTTCAAATTTGACCAAGAAGTGATATCAGATAGAGAGTCATTGAAAACTATCAAGTACTTTACACATATCTGGTCTTAGTTTGGTACTCATCGTTAGTACTCACCCATCTCCGTACAAACCAACTCTTGAAAATTAATCTGATGCTCCCTAGCAACTGGTTTCAGGACGGAATTTCTTGGAGTTCTAGTGAGAACTTGTGACCAATAAGGTCCATCTTGTCGAGAGTGTGGACAAATGCTCACTGGCGGTAACACTGACTAGTGGTCGCGCTAAATGCATCACAAATCGGTAGATGTTAGAGTCGGCTTCCAGTAACTGAATGGTCTACGAGCACGCCTTGTAACCGGACGATCTTGTGTTCGAACTTTGACAGTGGGTGTGTACTTCCGATGAATGCCAAACTAGGACGAAACAAGTGTTCAATACTCCCTGGTTCTCAACAGTTTTCTAACACTGATAGCGCAATCAGTAGTCAGACTTCAAAAAAGAATCAAAAATAAATGAAATGATTGAAAATAATTGTTATTGACAACATTATGAAAACACCAAAAACAGGAAGAGAAAATGTGTTAGGTTGGCTATCCGCATATGTATTTGTGTGTGTGTGTGTGGATATATGTGTTAGTTAGTGTATGAGTGAATAACCAAGGGGACATTAAGTGTTACAATTCAAAGAATGAATGAATCGTTGGGAAAAAAATACTAAAACAATAAAATAAGGGAGAAGGGAATGCACACCCACAGGACAAAAGGCTGTAGGTAATAACGCAATGACGTCATACGGTATTTATGCATTTATAGATATTCCAATAGGCTGGACCTGTTTCTTTTGCAGATAAAACTCCCACTTGTATGGCTTAGGGTGACCGTCGATTACCCTAGGAACTTAATTTTTCGTGCTCAGGAATGTCTGTCAGTGTGGTTAATTGAAGGTGTTGTTAAAACCAGCAAAAGTTCTGTAATGGTTCGCCTCGTCCGAACAGGCCTTCTTCTATCATCTATAGCCTCTAGAAACCGAAAACTGGAGACAGAAGAGGCTATTTCAATCGCCTTACATCAAACTGAGCCATGAGTGTAAAAGAAACAGGTACAGTCCACCACTATTTCAACCGTCATTTGCTATCAAGCCTATAAATTCTGTGTGTCACTTCCCTTAATTTATCTGATATTCAATCAGTTTAGTGTTTCATATTAATGTATATTATCTCTCTCTCTTTTTCTTACTGATGATTTTGAAATGAAATTTGTCGATAATAACTATTGATTCAATGCAATTTAAAAAAACCTTGTGTTGATAATTGCAATATTTCTTTCGTTAGTGGTGTCATGTAAATGTAAAATCTGTTGAAGGAGTTCTAGTGAAAAGTCATGACCAGTGAGGTCCATCCAAATGTCAAGTGTGAGGATGGATGTCCCACAGATGATATTGGTTGTGGTCGCGCTAAATCACGAATTGGTAGAAGTTAGAGTTCATGTGCTGGCTGGCCATTGAATCGGTTCCCAGTGGCTGAATGGTATACGAGCTTGTCTTGTAACCGGAAGGTCCCGGGTTCGAATCCCAGTGGGTGCGTACTGCCGATGATTCCCAAACTAGGATGAAACAGCAGCTGTCCAGTACTCCCTGGTTTTCAATGGTTCTCTAACTGATATCAATCCGTGATCAACCCGTAAAACATAACTAATCCTTACAAAACCAACCATAGAAGGAGAGATTATCAAAAATCTGAATATACTTTGTTCTGGTGATATTAGATAGTTGTAGGCAATCAGCGGGAAGTCCTCGACCTGGGTTTCGTGCTAGTTGGCACTCGTCAGCAAGGTGTATCTGTAAATCTGACTGATAGAATTCAGTCTGCACCAAAGAAGGGGGTAGACAAATCACACTGGTTACTAGTTTCCAGTCAAAATATACTTTGATGATTAATCGGTCTTTTAAATTTTAATGGACGTTCTCAATCAATGAATCAATCAATTTATTAGTGTTATGATGGAGTGATACTGGGTCGTAGATTCATCTGACTCGACTAGAATGCACCTCCAGATCATTATACAGTATCCGACTGATCCACTGAAAATATTTTCCCACACCGAGATGAACACAGAACTGAGACTGATATAAACAACCACCGGAGCGATAACTTTTACTAGACAAAATAGGTGTTTTATTATATTTGAAAACCTTTAGGAATTCGAAACATAAGTAAAAGAGATCTGACTGTATGCCATCGAAAAACCCCTCAGAAAATTAAGCCATAAACAAAAATGAATCAAAACAGTCCAATCAGGTTGTCAAGTGAGTACATGCATAAACCATGACTTCGCAGTTAACAAAGAGGCTTGTCTGTCCCAATCACCAAAGTGCTCAGTAATTCCGAATAAAGCAAGACCGACATTTTGTGCAGAATAAGATAGTACCACTACTTTTCTACTCGGCTCCTCATCAGCTGCATTCACAGGAAATAAATTATTAATTACAAACGTTACATAATGTCGGCTGATCAAAGACTTCAAACCTAAACAACAGTGCCCCATAGATTACATTTAATTTGTTTATACCCAGAGACCTTAAGTTTTAACAAAAACAAATTCGTTGATACAATTCCAAAACAGTTACGTAATAAAGATAACAGCTGAATAATACGATCATTAACTAACGAATGGAATGTGTGGTGAGTTCAATCCAAACCATAGAAAAAAAGAGTTAAACATAGTCACACTATATAAAGAGGAGGAGAGATTACATAAGCAAAAGAAAGAAGGAGTTAAGACTGAGAACTTCTTCTTTCTGAACAGATTTTTATATTTTTTATTTTTGATTTACAGCTTGATTCCACACTGTATTTTTGATACAAGTATGGAATTTTCAGCATGGATACCAGGAGCCCAAATTTTGCAGGCCGACCATAGATATCAGGTGTGCGCCGGCGTGGGCTCGAATCCCAGGACCATGTGCATGGTCGGCGAGAGTCCTAACCACTGTGCCACCGACGCATTTCAGGCCTTTAACAGCGACTTCCGTGGCAAACTTGAAAAGCAGTGAACCATTTCGTCTATTGTTAATTGTAAAGGACTTCGTGATTCCCACCTTATGACCCATATCAACGAGATATCTGGCTCTCACGCTATTGAAAACGTCTGTTTCCTTGAAACGTAGGATTACTTGGTATACCTTCCAAATACTGAAGTTTTACCCCTTTTTCTGTTCTCTCAATGTGATTGCTCCAGAAAATACATGTAGATTACAATTGTTCTGTACATAAACTCAAGAATTTCTTTGAGCTGTACACGACCGATGAGAAACAGACGAAATAAACAGTGATGAAAACATCTTTTTCTGTACAAATTGTTTTCCCCACTTGACTGAAATTTATAAAGGGAATAAATGACTGCAATTACGCAATAGGACATAGGAAATGACTCTATGGTCTTTGACTTTTTGGTCTATCTGGAGTAGATATGCTAAGAAATAGAACTTAAATCTTTTTCAGTTGCACCCTCATCTATTTATGTTTAATTCCTTCAGCACTGAACATCTAATACAACGCACTAACATATTATATCATGTTATTTGAATTTCTTAGAATAATTTCAAATCATCATCGTCAATACGTCGATCGAGTAGTTTTGTAGCAGCATCATCTCACTCGCCACATGAACATACTATCAGTATCCCACAGATACGTTCATCAACATCACGTCCAGAAAATCTTGACTATTCATCTAGTCAAATTGTTAACAGTCTATCAGATCATATTACATCATCGATAAGAATTAATGAAAATGGTCAACCATCTGTAAAAGATAATCATCATATGAATCATTGTAATGATATTGCGAAAATCTCTTTTGTTATCAAATCGAATCCAACAAATGCTGGTAATCTTAAACCATTGTTAGTATTTCTTAATCCAAAATCCGGTGGAAATCAAGCTGTAATGCTGTTGAAAAAATTCCAGTGGTTATTAAATCCACGTCAAGTATTTGATTTATCACAAGGTGGACCAAAACTTGGGTAAGTCTAGTGTGGAAATGCAGTGGCATACATTTTAAAGAGGTTCATTCTTCAAGTTGGTTCTCTAGGTGGAAATTATTATTATTATTATGATTGAATTTAATTTTACTTGTTACATTTCGTCATATGTTAACATTATGGATGGATATTGTTGGAAATCATGGGACACCCGACATTTTGTTACTATTATTATTCCCCTGTGTTCCGGGAAAAAATTAGGTCTTTAACAACACATCTCCATTTCCTTCTGTTCTCTACTGTCCTCTTCAGCTGGCTGACCACACGACTGCCCATAATCTGTCATCTCCTCCCCCCCCCCAAAAAAACCATTTCACTTTAGGGCCCACTCATCGCTTCCCATTCGGATTCAACTCGAATGATAGCCTGCATTGCGCATGCTGTCATTCGACAGTTTCTTCAATGTATTTCTGAGACACCCATCTTCATTTTCTTCTTCATATTTGTTGAACAGTCGGCTCTTGGTTGTTTCGCTTCCACTGTTCCTTGTTTCTGATTCTCTCTCTGGCCACTGATCTTCAGTATGGAGCCAGCAAAAGTGGCAGCTGTTGATAAAGGTCTGCATTGACCTGTTGTAAATCCCCTTCGTGACACCTCAAATTTCTGATATTTTCATTCGTCCTATTTTAGGAGTCTTTAGCAATGCACACGCAAGACACTACCGAGATTTGAACCTGGGGCCTTCAGGCTACAAGACCAAGTTCATTCATTGGCCATTCAGTCAGTTTGAGTTAAAATTCAGTGACCTGCAAATTCAAACTTTATCAATTTTGTTTGATAGTGACCAGCAATGGAATCTAGAATGCGCATTTCGTCTTTTTTGTGACTTGTCAGCTGGATGTACCTGCATCTTGACGGTGAGTGAGTCAGTCAGTGTTGCTGTTCCCATGTAAGACTCGAACTCTGAAGTCATCATTTCTGAGAACCAGCTTAGCTGTAAGATAGTTTCTGTCTGGTGGTGTATTCAATCTTCTGTTACCTACTCCTGCAATATTATAATCAAGTTGAATGATTTGTTCGGCCTTTCAGCCTTCAAATTTTGCATATTTGTCAATGAATTTTTAAGCTTGGCCGTAGAGTTTTCTGAGCTCCTGTCAACTGACATCATATATAACATTTATTATGTATTGAATTGAATTTTTTCGATTTTCCCGTCGATTGATTGGACCGAAGTGCTCGGTCTCAGGTTGACATGTCGGCTTCTTGTGCAGATGCTTCGACGATGTCTGGGCATTTAATTAGTATACAATTGGTGGATGGTGGCTAGCAGTGGAATCCAGGATGCGCATTTCGTCCTATTTGGGACTCGAAAAAGTTCAATTCAATAATTAATATGACCCGTTGCACAAGAGGTGGCTCTCGTGGCCCAAGTGGTCTAGTGGATAACGCTTTGGCGTTTGAAACTATGGGTACCGGGTTCGAGCCTCAGTAGGAACATCATCACTCACTGAGAAATGCAGGTACATCCAGATGACGAGTCCCAAATAGGACGAAATGAGCATCCTGGATTCCACTGCTAGCCACCATCCACCAATTGTATATTTATTATGTATGTTAAAAATTGTCCTGTGCATAAACTTAATGATAATATCTCTCTAGGCTTTTTGCAGCTGCATAAACTGTGTTTGAAACGTCATCCAGTCATACTGTAATGACATTTGTTGATAATTCCCAAATAAACTGTGATCATTGGATTGGATAGTTTTTGTTTAGTTTGCTTGTCTGACGTAATAATATATCTATTAGCATGGTCAGGGAAAAACTTCCCATATTAATCTTTCTTATGACGTAATATTGCCAAATCGTTTTCAGTAATTTAGATAATCAGTCCACCGAAAGAAAATATCTATTGCACAATATTGGCCATTTTTTTGGAAAATTTCACCTGTCTGCTTAACCTAGAAATAATTCGTATTAAAATGAGCTCTCATTGCATCTATATATATTAAGCCTAAAGAAAGAAAGGAACGATATATTAGCCTTACAAATATCATGCAGTTTGTTCTTATTACGTTTCATCTGCTGTTACTGCTTTTTATGCTATGCGTATGCCTACTTCCATCCTTGAAGTATATGTTATCTTGTGAAGGAAAGGGAAAGGGTAAGTGGAAGACGGAATGATACATTCGTCCAATTCAAAGTTGGAGTAAAACACAAAACAACATCAAAAAGAAAATATTTATGTTATAACTTATTCGTTTAGAAAACGTAAACTTGTTACTTTGCAAACAAAGAAGAAGAAGTAGAAGTGGGAGGTGGCGGTAAAATAATAGCAAATAATAATAATGGCGACTGGCCCTATTCAGGTAGGTAGTTACCTGGGGTTCTAGTGAGAAGTTGTGACCAGTAGGGTGCAGCTGGTCGGGTGTGAGGACAAATACTCGCCACCGAAGACATTGGCTAGCGGTTGCGCTATCTCGTGAATTGGCAGAAGTTAGAATTTATGGGCTGGCCATTGGATCGTGTCCTAGTGGCTTAATGGTCTACGAGCTCGCCTTGTAACCAGTAGGTCCTGGGTTCGAACTGTTGCGGTGGATGCATACTGCTGAAGAGTCTTAAACTAGCACGAAACCGCTATCCAGTACTCCTTGCAGGCTTTCCAATGGTTCTCTAACTGATGTCAGCTCATGATGATATCCTGTAACCAATCAACCAAATCCCTACAAACCAATACTTGAATATCTTTGTATTTCCCATTCTTTAAATATCTGTCTTATTATTATCCCCTTGGGATTCTATTTGGTGCTGTCCTGATCAGCTGGCTGACCCCATGATTGCCCATAATCTCTCGTCTCCTCCTCCTCAAACGATCTTTTATGTATCACCCTCGTACTAACGACTCATTGGACGTTTCCCATTGGGATGGCCGGCATTGACCACGATGTCATTCAACTGTTTCCTCAGTAACGTATGTCCAATCCGTCTCCATTTTCTCCCACGTATTTGTTGAACAATTGGCTCTTGGTTGGTTTGTTCATCCCTAGAGTTTGTTGCTGCTAATTCTTTCTGGCCAAAGATTTATTTGATCATCAATGTGGAGCCGGTAGATGCAGCTATTTATAAAAGTCTTTTGTGGCCTATTGCAAATGCTTTTCGTGATGTGTAATGCACGTCTCTGATCCGTATAGAAGAACTGACTGACTGACTGACTTCATATGTGTGTTGAAAATCCGAATTTTATTCTTGATGCTAAGAAGTTTGATTAGTTTTCTGGTGTAGCCTCACATCCAACTCTCCCTCTTTAACTGAGCTTGGGACCGACTAGAAAACTAGCGAGCTAGTAATTTAGGCGAGGTTTTTAACTATTTGCCTCCACGTATATTATTACTTTTTTTATACTTACTCCCTTGAACTTCGAGTAGAAGATAGAGCTTGAAAAGGATATCTCTACATCATCCTTAAACACACAATAAAGAGCTGACTGAAATGACATTAGTGGTTCAAAATGGAATTCTGTTCTTTTTACGCTTTTATCCATTGATAGCAAATGGTGGTTGTTGTTGTTTTCGGTTATTGTTCGGTATCTTTATTCCTTCTGTCTTATCTGCATTATTCACATGACGTCCTGCCTGCTTTCTCTGCCGGTTTGTTGATTATCACTTGTAGATCTCAGAGTTTCTTTACCATTATATATATATATATATATATATATATATATATATGTATTTCGTGCAGGAAGTTCAGGTATTCTACAGTCTTCGTGTCATCCGTAAAATACCCTTGTCTTTTCCCTACCCAGGCATGGTTTGTGACACGATTTTGTTTTATTCCAATATTTTCCCAGTGGAACATACGGATTTAGCTTTAAAGTATCAATAGTAGTAATGTTCTTTCACAGGGTGGTCTTGCTGGCCTCACGCGCAACCTCCCCTCTTTGTCAGGACTACAACTGGCTAAATGAGGTAATGAGGTTGTGCGCCAACTGTGACTCGAATCCCGAACCAAGAGCACATGGTTGGCCAGCACTCTACCAGTGAACCACTGATGCACGTCACATGATTTAGTTCAACATATAATCAAGAATATCATGCGGTGATAACAAGAAACCTTGTCCTCAATTCAAAAGCTTCGTTATGATTTTCGTTGTGAATCACCCGAGATTTGACATAATCACGCCTCACTGTGAATGGTATGAATAGTTGTACACCGATTATATCAGTGTGAGTACAGTTGAAATAAACCATGGACATAGCTGTGTTCGCTTGTTTTGGAACGAGTTTATCGGCAATGTAACCTTTTTTGACTGAGCCTAGAGAGTTCAATCAGCTCAAACGACTTGATTTCTGGTTAGCTATTTGGACGAAGAGGTAACACCCCTTTAATTAACTAGCCGTATTCTCAATTCACAACTGACACCATTTGAGGAGGTGAAATTTTACTGCCACAGTTTTCTTTGAAAACTAAACTTATCGAGATTGCAATTAATGATCATAAAATGGGTCATAATAATGGGTCATTCAGTAACCAAGCATAATTGTGTAAAACGATATATTACTGACTGACTGAGATGAGCAATTGCATATCACACACATCACTCAGTAGCGCTGAACTGTAGTGTGCATTTCTGCGGACAAAAGCTCACCGTCATCTAATCGAGGCATAGTTTTCATTATGTTAGCAATGAAGCTTTAGAATATATTGAAATTCGAAGCTTATTCGTACAGTTTCATAACATTTATGACTGCAGTACTGGGTTATAGGGATTCAAATCTCACAGAAGATGTCCGTCCCTACAAGGTTACAGATACACCTTATTGACGAGTGTCGGTAGGCACCTACAGATTACTTCCGATTACCAAACATCGATTAGCTGAACTTCTCAAAAGTTCAGTCAGTAAAAAACGTCAGTGTCGCCTATCAAAACTCCTTTTATGAAGTCCTATTGTAACAACGGAAGACAAGGGCCAGGCAACAAATCGTTTATTAAGGAAATCAACACATATTGATAGATTTTCATGTACATTATAATAGATTATTGTTAG